CATGAGCTTGTTTGGTTCACCTTATAGCCTTCAATTGCCAAAGTTCTGTAAATAGAAAATTGTATTTGTAGTTGATTGTAATTCTTGAACATATATAATTCGTGTTTGCAAGTTAAAAGTGCTTAGACACAGATTTGAAGTTAATATTTACTCAAATTTTCTGTGTAATTTCATGACTTATATGTTGCTAAAACATTTCATTTCAATTTCTGGACGCGTTTGATAGACACATCCTTGCACTTTCACAAATTTTAACTTTATCCTTATTACTTTAGAAAAGTAGCAATTTTATTTTTTATTAACGAATAATACTTAAACTATAATGCAGAAATTTAAGAGTAGAAATGTAGAAAGCGAAATCCTCTCACCAGTAGTGTCAGTCCGTGCTCAGTGGTGTGGGCAGAGTTTAACAATTGTACACATCCGGTGAAACGTAAACATTAACAACAACAGAGCCCGTGCCCTATTTACAAAAACAGTTTACGTTTCACGGGTGTGTTCAATTTGTTAAACTCTGTACTACAAAAACTACACTACACAACACTGAGCACGGGCTGACAATACTTAAGTGAGTGGGTTTTGCTTTCGCATATTTTTACTCTGAATTTTCTGAATTATGGATGTAATATTATTCATTAATACACAACAAAATTGTTACTTTTCTTAAGTATTAAGGATAAAGTTAAAAAATGTGATAGTGTAAGAATGTGTAAATCAAACGCCTCCCGAAATTCATAGTTTCAATAATTTCAAGATTAAATAGGTTTTTAATTTTATTTTTGTGTGAAATGCTATAGCAATATATAAGTTGTGATATTATACAGAAAATTTGAGAAAATATAAACTTCATATCTGTGTCTAAACACCTTTAAATATCAAGAATGTTCCTTTTTGTTAACGCCTCCTCTTTGAGCCATTTTTTTTTTTACCAGACTTGAAGTCCATTGTAATTCATTAATTCTTGCATTTTCCGTTCCAGTAAGTAGTGTTTAATTTCATAAATGTTAATTTCATAAATGTTAATTTCATCTTGCCAAAACACCAGAGCCCTATTAACTTAGTTTTTCTCCCACAATTTTTACAGCTAGTGTATCTGTTTTGAATCCGTTGCCATTTTCGCATCCTCGGGAAGCAGAAATGTGCATTGATGTAAAGCCTCCAAATGACTCTATTGGAACTCTTTTATTTAAAAAAGGTACCAAAAAAAAAAATGGCGGTTTGAATCGAAGCATACACAGCAGCTAGATAAGTTGTTGGAATAACCTTATGTAATGGACACAAATGCACATTAAATGGCAATGAATAATTAAAAGGATGTTCGAAGAGACAAAATGAAGCGAAAGCATGTATGTCCCAATTTTAATCGCAACAAGCGATCGAAGTTGGGGCTGAATTTCCAAACGTGTATTGTGAATGACTGTCCCGAGATTCGGTGAAGGCGTCAGTCCAAATATCAAGCTGAGCCGAATCTCTGCCAAGATTAGCTAAATACACAATGATTTGCTTAGAAATACTTCTTTATACACAATGAAAACAAACAAAATATCGCATTCTAATATTTAACTGGTAAACTAAAGGTGTAAAAAGGAACCATGCTACTAAACTAGAAATCTCCTTAGAAATTGCTAAAGTGAGTCAGCCTCCAAGGTCAAGGTCAAAAAATCAAATATGTTTGTACCCAAAGAAAGATCTTCACACAAGGAATGCATACGCATGTGAAATATGGAGGCCTTATATATAGCTCCAACGAATCAGAAATTATTGGCAAGGTTAAAGTTTTTGTGGACAAACAGACGAACAGACAGACAGACGGACGGACATGCCCCCTAATCTTCGATTTCGAGGGCATAAAAAGTAAAACTTCCAAAACTCGAAAAACATATTTTGTTGGGATAGGGTCCTCTCTCTTATCACGAGGGGTGTAAACCTATAGGGTTTAGAACGGGCATTTTATTTGAACATTTTAAAATTGGAATATTTTCGTAACATAATCATTTTAGTTATTACTAGTGATCTTATTAGTGACAGTATAATAAAATAAAAGTTGATTAAACAAGGATGGACATTGATAGTGTACTACATGCAGTGACTTTATAATTGGTAAAGGGTCTTTAATTCCATAAACTAAAATTATCTTGTTAGAACAAATTGGATTTTGATGTTAGTACAATGAACTATATATAGTTTTGTAAATCATTTTGCAATGGAATTGATCAGAATAGACCAATCAAGCCCATCTATACTAAGCAATAAAATTTGGACGGAAATGCAAAGTTACTTTTAAGATTTTTGACCTAGAGCAATAAAATTGGAAACTTGAAGTAGATAAGTAAAGGATGTTAGGGCTAGAACTCCTGTGGTGCAGAGATGGGGACTGAGCACATAAATTCTAATCTAGGTATACCGTGATTGGAGGGTGGTGCTATGTTGGGGTTCATAGGTCAACGGACAGACCTACGGACCAAGCGTAGGTGGCAAGGCGATGGTAAGACAACTTATGAAAAGTACTTTTATATCCGGGACCATGAACATCCTCTGAGCATAAAATATCCCGTTTGCCGGAAAACGGCATTCTTTTCTTTTCTATTCTTGCCTTAGGGCAAAATATCCTAGGACTATTCTTTGCTTTTCTACAAACTTGGTTTCTATTATCGATCCACAGATATGATGTAACAAATGAGACCCAAAGAGGTCCTAACAGCGACAGTGGATGTACCTGTCTTGAACATAGCTGCCTCGCTCTTGCAGTCATGAACTTTGGATTGTTGACATATGGAAGTATTGCAGAAATTCGCGAACCGATCTTCTCCTACTTACAGCAGAAATATTACACTGGACCGTCGTGGAATGTGATATTGAAGATTATTTTACCTTTGACCATTTTTTTTATCTATTCCATTCATCATGGATATTCTGAATTTATGGTTACCTTTTGCAAAGGAGGATTAAAAAAGGTCTCAAAAGAAACACAAGTCCTTATGACATTTTTATGAAATGACGCATATTGTTCATTTGAAAATAAAAGAAAATTGTGTTTCGTTTTAAATTTATTGTAAATATGTTGAAATAAGTAAGAATGCCCTGCTTTTTGTGTGACCTTTACACGATGATAGATTTAAAAGTATTGCACATGTGTTTCTACTATTAAGCACTGTATAATTTTGTTCGATTTATTTTGTTGTTGAAATTTTAATTATTAGTTTTTTTTGTTTTTTTTTTATTGTTCATTATTTCGTTTTTCATATCTTCTGTAACTTTAATTATGGTTCGTTTTAATTTTCTCTCAAGAGGTTTCCTTTTGTTATCATTAAACGTTCTCTACTTTGCTAATATTGTGCTTATACAATGTCAAAAGAAAAAATTTGTTAAAGAGTTTATTTAGTTTACCTGCTCAACCGCACATTAAAATGCATGTATATCTTATTGCGTATATTATGGTCGCCCGCGTGTGCTCTAGAGTCCCAGAGTAAGAAATTGATCCTTTCGTCGCGGGTTCGAATACACTGTGCGACATGGAGACCGGTCCTTCGGAGGAGGCCGCATAAACCGAGGTCCCATGTCGCATTAGATTCTGGCTCGAGAAAAAATCCCTCACTGCTCAAAGGCCGTAAGTGACGAGTAAAGGTCTAAATTCGCAGCCCTCCACCGGAAAGTGGTGGCATTTCAATATGAGTGAAAAAATCTCGAAAGTAATTTAAACAACAACCAACCAAACAAACAAAACATTTTTTTGTGATATGCAAAACCACAATTATTAAAAATGTATTAATTGCATTCATTAAAATTGGCCACAAAACTATATCCCGTCGACTATTCAGTATAAATAGAGCCATGGAATCGCGGTATTGCATATCACTAGAAACAAGAAATTTCTCAGAGGAAAATGACAGTACACAGTCTTTTGTAAGGTAAGCTGAATTATCTCAAATATATTTCACAGAAAATTTTAAGATTTTTTAAAAATTCATAATTAACTTTTTTCAAATGAGGTAACGAAAGCCCTGCAGAGATTCACGTTTAAACAAAGTATCAAACAAGAAACAGTCTGAGTAAAAAGAATCATTTACAGTAAAACGCAGTTATAAAAACACACTTATAAAGAAACCTCGGTTATAGAGAAATTATTTTTTCCTGAACCCCTTGAAGACTTCATTATATTACTTATATGGATGGACATAATCACGGTTTTAAGGAAGCAAAATTCCAGGGGCCTGTTTTACAAAAGAACTTACGAGAAAGACTAAAAACGTCAGTTGATTCTAAAATTTTGCAAAATTAATTATTCTGTTTTAAATTGCTAACATAAAAGTATCTTTCTACATACCTTTTAAAATATTAAAACCATTTTCTATTTTATGTGAATTAGAAAGTTATTAGCAGAATTAAATTTTGGTCAAAGTCGTAAGTTCTTTTGTAAAACGGGTCCTAGATCCCAGTCACTTCCTTATTACAGTAATTACTCAGATTTAATGTAAATAGTATATAGTACTTCGGTGATGAGTTAGACATTTTAACTGGATTTTTTCCCTTGAGCAAGGTTGTCGCTAAGAAAGCCGTTTTAAGATCTATCTTTCTTAGCTCTCATTCAAGTTCTATCATACAGGAATGAGGCTTAAAAACCACGTGCACGTAGTATCAGGGTGAGTGTTTTTTTCGAATATAATCCTTTACTTTAATTTAGTTATTATAATAATTTAGTATGAGTATGTTCAATGAAAAAGCCGTCTTCCCGATTAACTTTTTGTTGAAGTAAATCCAAATCCTCCAATGTTCATGTACTACTTTTTTTTACGTGACAAATATTTTTATGGTAATTTGTAAATTTTTTTCTGGGTCCCACCCCTTCAGTGTATAAAAACGATGCTAAGCCTGACTTCCTCTGGCTTGAAAATAAAATATTATATTACATTTTCAATTCATCTTATGGGATGGAATGCATTCGTCAAAAAATACTTTGCAAGGTTACATATACATTAAATGAAGAAATTCAACAAAGTGACTATGCTGCATCGTTTAGATGTTTGACATCCTTTAATACTTGAAGTATGAATACATTGAAGATCTAGGAAAATTGAATCTTTCACCTCCCTGTTGCGTAAGATATAACTGCTGCTTCTCAAGTATGAAACAACAGAAAGACGCTGTGTTATCTGAATATATAGAGTCTCCAGGTATACTGTTTTCAGGTATTGTCCCTTTCTCATCTAAGATAAATACAAATTTCACTTGGCTAATTGCCTGTGATTTATTTAGAAGATTTATTCTCCAGGAGAAGCATTAGGCGATCCCCTAGTGGATCCTCAGCACGTCTAGCTTTCCTCTCCATTAGAAGTGTTCTAGCTAGGGCGTTGTGCTCAGGGTTAGGGGATTTTATCGCTGAATGCAGCAAAAGTTGTATGAATGTGTCCCTCTGAAAAAGATAAATACTACCGTATGATTCGTGCCATGTATGTTCATATTGTGTTTTACTAGTATTATGCTAACCTTTCATAACTAAGTATTCTTAAATGTTACGGGTAGTGCTTATAATATACTGATCAGAAAATATAAATCAATATTGAACAAAAATTTTAACATCCTCTAGATATTTATGGTAAATGAGAGTAATAGAACTCATAAAAAGGGTCAATACATGCTAAAACACGGTTAATCTGAAGATGTCAATATAACACAATATATATTTATAGGTTGCAAGTCTTTGTTGTTTTAAAATAAGTTATTTGTTCAGAGAAAGAGTAGGATTACATAACATCGTTATAACATAGTACACAATATATATGTATAAGACAATGAATCCTCTTCGTTTATCGAAATTTAGCCCCATTAAAATTCGACCTTGATCTGTGTCTTTTGCATACCTGTGCAATGCTTCCTCCAATTCTATGAAGTGAACCACGTACAGAGTTGAGACAATTTGCAGCTGTTTCTAGGTGCCCCTCTTCATATGCTGTTATCCCAGCACAGAGTGGTATTCCAACGTCATGTGTTACCTGAGCGTTTGTGGCAGAGTTTTCTCTACATTGCAGCAAAATGTTTTTGGATTACTAGCTATTAACTTCAAACCTTGTATAAACTTATACATTTTCCTGCTTTATTATCTGGGCAAGTTTTTGGAAGAAAATGTAGGGGCACATTTAAATGGAAATGGAAAATTTGGCATGTAAATCAATTCCTCATCTTCAACAATATCTGGGTAAATATATATGCAACAAGTAGGTTCACATAAGCTGGTGAAAAAATAGCCCCACATACATGTACCATAAAATTCATCATAAACTTTGCATAACTTACTTGACATACTCCTTTAACTCCTCCAGCATTGCATGTGCCCGTTCTTTTTCTCCATTTCTATGTAAACACAGTAAAATGTGAGCATCCAGATACATCCAGAGGTGCTGCCCAGCTAACTTATCCACATGTTGAAGAACGCTTTTCCACCTTTGTGGAGCATTGATGTCTATAAAACAGTGCAAAGATTACAATCATATATCTCACTACGTTCATTCATTTAACATTTTGTACATCTTATTAAGTAAGAGCATGGTCTTTATTTCTGTTTCTATATTTTTTTTCCACTAATACTCGCATTTCATCCCCATTATTCTTGGCATCTTAATTCAATTTTAATGAATTAGGAAATAAATCATTTGTTTAAATCTATTTTTTACTAAAACATTTCAAACATTATACTACGTTAAAAATGAGACTTTGGATTTCGCTTTTTTCCATATCAACAGCATTTTCTCCAAGACAAACAAATCTTTGATCTTTGTTTTAAATCCTTATTCCCTACCTTCAAAAGACAAACGGTACAATAAAGAAGAAGCATCATTAAAATTCCCTGGACTTCCAAGTCGTGTTATAATCTGTAAAAATCAAGAAAAGTATTAAAATAATACAAAGTTTTATATTGCCTGAATACTGAATTCTTATGCTGAAGGCATCAGCTTTCAACGTCAGTAGTACATTGTGCAAAGGGAGAATATACGGTATATAGTTCTTATAAATTAAATTGAATTTTTCTTAAAACACTGTTATGTTTTTGATTATTACCTTTTCATCAAAAATCTTTACTGCATCATCAAACTGTCCCTGGAATATATAAATTCTGGTGAAAATACTTTGATTTTATACCCTTGTTATTGGTCAATTATTAATAATGATACAATCTTATTATTATAAGATTTTTGAATGCAAATCTAAACATAAAATTTAGGTAGCTGAACAATTGCACAAATTAATCAAAGCATTGGTAAAAAAAAAAAAGATGAAATAATATTAAGATTGTATCATTATTAATAATTGACCAATAACAAGGGCATATTATGGTTTAATATACAATACTCGTCAATGTAAATCATTAGGCAAATACTGGTTGTGAAGCTTTTTTTTTTTCAATTATAATTTTTCGTGCATAAAGTGTAATGCAAATCTATGTCCACTTTAGCCGAATGAATCAAAGCGTTAAATCTCATACCTTTTCTACATAAAACAGAGCTTCATGCCAAGCTATGTGACAGGCCAAGCTTGCTGACTAAAAACAATGACGAATGAAATTTAATATAGTTACATGTATCATTCAAAGCAATTTTGAAAAATTATAAAATATTTACTTCTTATAAATTTTAAGCCATTTTGTCACATGTGTTTATTTCTCAATCACTTCCTGACCTCCCAGTATTTGGCTTTACTCTGAAGGAAGGCCAGACCAGCATCTAGCATGCCTTTTTCTAGATGGATGTGAGCCATCGTGTGGATCGCAAAAACTTCGCCAGGAGAAACAGCTAGACTCTGGAATAATTATACAACAAAACATTTAACAAAATAATAAATAAACTGATAGATGAAACAAATGCCAAAAAACAAACCAAATAATAATAATAATAATAATAATAATAATAATAATAAAATAAACAGAAATAGGACAAGTAGGGCTCAAGAAATAGGACAAGTAGGGCTTAATAAATTAGTTACCGGTAATCTGGCAATCGACAACATCTCAGAAAGTACCTCGCTTTCTCTACTGATTTGCACATATGTGCCAGTGCTTACTGTAAACTTTAAACATATAGGGCGCATAACATATAACAGCACAATCCCTATATCACTAGCCTCTCTTGGTCTTTGAATAACAATAAATGTACAAATACAGTGTATAAAGAATTTTTGTCTCGTTTTTATTTATCTTTTATTAACAAGTCTACCTTACTATAAAATCTATAAGAGTAGTTTTGTATTATCTATAAAAAATTTATGTGATTCTTTCATTCAATTGACGCATTCATTTCCTATCATTTCAGTGATCAATTCTTTCAAATGAATAACAAAGAGGAATAACTTTTCTCAAAGTAGAGTACAAAATTCCTCTACATGTTCAATAGAGCCTTGTCAAGCACCAATATGCCTTACTAAGTGGTCATAAATTTCATAAGTCTAAAATAAGAAAAATCACCCTTGCTCATTATATTCTGTACTCGGTTTGCCCCCTATATGTCAAGAAAAAGGATGCATTTTCAATATATGATCAATAGATCCCCGCCCAACACCAGATGCTCTGTCCCATGGGCCATAAATTTTTACAATTGTGGAAGAGGGACCCTTATTCGTCACAACAGTGCATTTAGTTTGACAATATTCTCTGCTTAATACCCAGGAGCAGAGAAGATTTTCCAAGAATTAATTCATTTTCATTATATGATCAATAGATCCCCGCATATTCCAAATAGATCCCCTGACACCAGAACCTCTGACCCTTGGGCTATGAATTTCACAATTTTGGAAAAAAAGCACCCTTACTCATAATATCTGGGGACGTCCTTTGTCTGCTAAATATACAGGGGAAGAAAAGAAGATTTTTAAAGAATTTATGCATATTCACTATACGACTATAAGAACACCCCCTCAACATCAGACCCTTGACTTGGGACCATGAATTTGACAAATTTGGTATAGCGCTCAATGCTTATTATAATTATGCCAACAGTTTGACTGCTTCATTCTATTAGTAAAAAAAAATTGAAGTGCAGTAATTTTGATGGTTTTGGCCCCATCCCTCGGGTCCTATGGAGACAGAGACAACGAAGTTCACAATTTTAGTTCCCCTTCACTCATATATGCTATCAGAAAAGACGCTGAAGATGTTCAAATGTTAATTGGTGGCGGATGAATGACGATAGACGACGCCTGAAAACGGACGAAAACAACAATACATAGTCTGTGACTCAAATTTCAAAACATTCTTGATAAAACAAATTACTTTTCTTAAGCACTGAAACTGCTTTTTTAAATTAGATTATCTGCTTAACATACTGAACATATTGTAACATATTTGTACAATTAAGAATACTTTAGGGCATGGCAGATCTAAATTAATAAATATTAATATGTTCTTGTGACGGTACATATTGTCGTTTTGTACATATTGTCGTCGGCGACAATATGTAATTACCCTCACAGCACATATTGTCGTCCATCGGTACATATTGTCGCCGGCTGAAAAGTTACACATGTACATATTGTCGCTGGCGACATTATGTGCCTCACCCTCACTGTACATATTGTCGCCCCACAGATATTGTTGCTTAAAGATTTCTTTTGTTTGTTTTTTGGTAGTTTTGTGAATGTAATTGGTGTGTGAATCACACTGACCTGTCTCGTATGCTATTTCACGCAGAGTGATTGTGACGGTACATTTTGTCGTCCTGTTCATATTGTCGCCGGCGACAATGTGTACCTACCCTCACTGCGAATATTGTCGTCCATCAGAACATGTCGGATGACAATGCAAGGCAATGCTCCATATAAATATGGCCAGAGAAACCAAAAACTTAAACAATTGTCATATACACTTAATTTGATCGCCGAAATATGGCTGAAATATTGCCGACTCGGCGTTAAACAATAATAATCAATCAATCAATCCATATAAATATGACTAATCATTGCTTTTCTGTTTTTGAGAAGATAATTTTAAAGAATTTTCCCATATATTCCTGGGGGGGGAGTATGCGCTGGTGCTGCATCTGTCTGATTTTTGAGAAGACTTTTAAAGATTTTCTGTATATATTCCTATGTAAAACTTTGATCACCCATTGTGGCCCAGCCCTACCCCTGGGGTCATGATTTGAACAAAATTGATTTCGTTTTTGTTTGTTATGTTCATCTCGAGATTTCTTCATTCGTATGTAGACGTCACCACTTGCCGGTGGGGGGCTGCAAATTTAGACCTATATTTGGCAGTCAGGGTAATTGAGCATGATGGATCTTTTTCGTGCAAGCATCTCAAAATTGAACGTACGCTATGTAACAAAGCTTTCACATAAGTATCATCTCTTCTGACCCAGAACTTCTTGAAAAAAAAATTGAAAGAATGTTTTCTAAATATTCTATGAAAAACTTATATCACCTACTGTAGCCACACCCTTACCCCGAGGGATATGATTTGAATAAAACTGAATAATCTACACTTCATAGTGAAGCTTTCACATAAGTTTCAACTTTTCTGACATAGTGGTTCTTGAGAAGATTTTTGAAGAATGTCACTAAATTTTCACTAATTCTCAACTACTTCCCTCGAAAGAGGGCATGGTCCTTATTTTGAATAATTTTGAATCCCCTTTATCCACAGATGCTTTGTGTCAAGTTTGCTTGAAATTGACTAAGTAGTTCTTGAGAAGAAGCAATATTGTGAAAGGTTTACAGACAGAGGGACGGTCAGACAACATGTGATCAGAAAAGCTCACCTGAACTTCCAGTTCTGGTGATTTAAAAATGTCAACCCCAACACCAATTATATCGGCATATGATTGTATATAAGAATAACGCAAATAATTATTTCCAAATAATCACAACAAAAAAAAAAACCCCAGAAAACAAAACAAAAAACAAAAAAAAAACTAACACGTATTTAATCTCCAACCAAGTATATATTACAAGAAAAAAAAGATAGGCTGATTTATCAGATATCTCAAGAATAATGGTATCTTGACATATCATAGTTATATACATCAATCCTGGACACATTTTTCTGACCAAAAAGTTTTCTCCCTACAGTATTGCGAGAAATGCTGTCTGTCTTCTCCCTGTGTGTGTGTGTGTGTGTGTGTGTGTGTGTTTTCAATCTCTCTTTCCTTTCTGAAGTAAATATTCGTCAAAACAATATATCGACGACAATATATGCCGACCTTGACTGTACATATTGTCGCCGACGACAGTATGTGCTGGTGCTTGACTGTACATTTTGTCGTCCATTATGCAGGAGGAAAATTAGGCTCCTCTCGGTACATATTGTCGCCGTCGACAATATGTACCGATGAACGACAATATGTGCAGTGAGGGTAGGTACATATTGTCGACGACGACAATATGTACAAAACGACAATATGTACCGTCACAGTTCTACTAAATTCATTTTGCAGAGAAGAATATACAGGAAAAATTACAGATTCGCCTATCTACAGGATGTGACATACATGACAACATGAGTGGTGAGGAAAGATTCCAGAATTCTGATTAGTCTATGACTGAAAATCTTCATAATGAAATGCAAGAGTCATGAGTGAAATGTTATCAATACAGATATTGGAGAAAGAACCTACGGTTTATTAAAGTGTGTAAAGGCATTATGAGGGATATCTTGAAAGTGCATGAGAGATGCTATTTGGAAGAACCATTATATTTAATGTGGATCTCTATAGCTAAATAATACAAGTAGTTGCAAGAGACAGAAATAGAGGAAGAAATTAAAAATTGCAACATATATTTTTTGAAAGGGGGGATTATCTCTTCCCTGGACAATGCATGATTTGTTAGATTGGATAAATGATAATTGAAATTACCTTGTGATTTCATATATATGTAATGCTAAAAATATTTCAGGTGTTTGCTTTAAACATTGCCAATCATAAGTAAAATAGCAAATCATTCACCTTGTATACGTCCTGCTCAGCTTCTACTAGCTGCAGGTTTTCTTCGTGTGCAAAGGCTTTCCATCCAAGAATAGTACTAAGCAAAAAATATATAAAGGACGACTGATTACAATGCTCGATCTAAACAGAGATATTAAAAGAGTTTTAGAACTCTTCCTCTCAGCTTTTTAAACTCTCTCCTTGTTGACCTTGCAGCTTTTCTTTTACAGAAATTGTTTTTCTTTAAAGAAAGAGGGGACTTCCTATAGATTTCTAATACACTTGCAAGGACTTCATACACTGTAACTTTTTGAATTCAGAATACAGAAAATTTTAAAGAAACCATTATAGAATTCACTGAGCCAAGTTGAACTTTAAACTTACCTGTATCCCGGAGTCTCGGGCTGGTACGCCTCCGCCACAAATGACATCATTTCTAGTAGCTCCTGAGACATTCCTAGTTCATAATATTTGAAGAAAGCTAGTAGACATGCTAGTAAGTCGGTTGGTGAATCATTTAAAATGCTCCTGTATGTAGCAGCAGCCTGTAGAGTGTCCCTACAATAGAAAAAAGTTTGATTGGCATCTCTTTTATCTTTTCCCAAAATTATTTCTACGCCGTAAAAAATCATGTCAATACTGTACGTATGAGTAAAAAAAAATTAAGACAGACTTCGTAGTAATATCACAAAGCATGCGCCTCATTTATTTTTTTTTTTATCAACATATTGCAAATTCTATTATAAAAGAAGTAAATCTGAAATGCGCAATAAAATATTGTTTTGTTTTAAACATATTTTACCGATTAAATCAAAAGGATTGGAAACAAGTTCTAAAATAAGTTACTAGTTCCTCTCCTTATTATATAATACAATATGTCATGCAAATTAAAGACAAATAAAATATTAATCTCGTACCCTTCCGCCACTTGTTTCAATGCTGTCACGTGTTTACTTTCTCTTTCCGTTACTTTCTGTTTTATAGCCTGATTTGAAATGTCGACTACGACTTTCCTTACATCCTCTGTATCGCTTTTGGATCCACCACATTTCATAGTATTTACCAACACCTGACCCATAACTGGTTGAGAATAAAACATTTTTGTATAAAAATGATTAAGTTGAAATGAAATATCGGGAAGCTCCCATTTAAAGCAGTTCATTCACAATACTCAAACCCTTATAAACAACCAATGGGGTTGATTAAAAGAATGTTAGATAAACTATCCTATCTAGACATTTTTCTAAAAAAGAAATTGGTGCTAATATTTGCAATCATTATATTGTAACAAATATGATTTAATCAGGGTCGTACCGAAATTAGGATCGGCTTCCATCATCTTTTTAAAAGTGTTACCAATGCCTCCCATCTCGGTGTCTGCATACATGGACGTTATCTATATAATAAATACGCGTAATACATAATTATACATATTGTAGTAAAGTCATGTAATCATACGATCAAAAAAATTAATAAATAATCTTCGTGTACGTGTAAAATGAATAAAGGTTTGTAGAGAAATACTGTTATACAGTACATGTAGATGTATATTATTTTCAAAGTATAAGGTCATTTTGAAACGTTTATAAAGGTCAAACCATCATGGTTAATATAAATAGCCTTTGTATGGCATTTTATAGCTGAGTATATGTCAAAAGGTGAACGAGTACCTGAGTAATGGCGGCATCGAACATTCTGCAGGCTTCGTCGTTGGAGGATGTGAGAGGTAGATTGAAGTCCCTCCATCCCTGTCCATAAACATGTGTAGTTAATATATTAATCATGTTAATCGTGAAATTCTTTCCTGAAACACATTTTTTTGACTTTTTTTCTTTTATATGCTAGTATTTACATGTATAAACCTCTTTTCATGGGTGGATCCAGTATTTCAACATGAAAATAACAGGACGTTGGATATTTTAACCAGCCACAAAAATGTACATCGCTTATTTTCTGGGTTGCAGGCAAATCCCCCCAATCCCTACTAAAACATATTCTCAAGTTTACCAGAAATTTACTATGAAATTTACTATGAAAATTCAACATCGTTTATACAGAATATTAGTTGTATTACTAATGAATATTTGCCGCCAGATGTAAGTATATGTATGTTGTACATCGTAGAATAGTTTTTTTTTTTTCCTCAAAAGGAGATGGGCGAACATAGCGTGCAGAAAGCCTATAGCTTCAGATATATAAAACTCATGTTCAATTTGTGCATTTAGTATTTAGAGTAAAGTTCTCATTATTGAAATTTATGAAATTATGATAAACAAAACTTTTCTGAGGAAAACTTTCTCGGCAAAATTTATTCTTTTATTATGAAAAATTAATGTGGTATTCGTGGGGTTCGAACCCTAGCAATAAAAATCCTGAGTATCATTTTCTTTCGAGACTAGCACGCTAACCACTAGAATACACAAGTCCTAACGAACGATGGCATTTAAATCATGTTTGTGATATGACCCTTGACTTAATGGACTTCAACTATTTCTCGAAAAGATGCGAATTTTATGTCATAAAAGTATATTTTTAAGGTATAGTGGGTCATTGCTCCATATTTTTGGTAACCCAAAAATGTATATTTTTATGCAAACTTTGAGGATTAACTTTCAAAAAGATGGAGCGAAGACCCACTCATATCGAAAAATAGTGTTATAGTATTAGAAAACGACTCGTTTTGCCCGCTTTAGTGTGTATCTAATATTTCACAGGCAAATAATTTCAATCTTTGAGGGATTTTTGCAAATTGTAGAGATTTTACATAAAGTATATTTTAATGTTAGACGAAATATCAAGGAAAATTTTGATATGATTGAAATTTAATTTTTCATCTTCATGTTTGTCACACTATAGGCTTATCGCTCGTCATGTTCACCCATCTCCTTTTTGGTGACTTACAATCTCTTTGATGAATGCATAATTATAGAGTCATAACATAGCCATTTGTTTCTCCAACATTTTTAACCCATAGTATAATAACACAAGGTATATAACTCCGAATAACAAGGGGTATCCCCTCCCCAGAACCGCAATCATACTTACCCTTTCAGAGAAAATGCATTTATTACCATTTTCTTCTACGATAATTTATCTACACAACCATATATATGTATGGTATGCATGCTTGTCTTTATTTTCTTTTATCTCCGTAAACACCGTTAAAACTCTGCTCGCCGACTGGAAAATTCAATGAAAATGGTATGCACTAATCCTTAAATTGGCGGAATATTGGATTTTGATTGGCTAAAAATCTGTTTCTAAAATTACATCGGAAAAATATAATAATGTTTTCTTGGAAAATAAAACGTAAACAAAATTGATTTATTTACTGCAATATTTAAACACTGAAACTGAATTTTTAAACCCAATAATTTTTAAATTTTGGTTACTGCCCGAGATTAGTACAAACCACTTATGGTGTGAGACAAGTTTTCCAGTTGTCGAGCAGAGTTCGACACTGTTCACGGAGATAAAAGAAAATGAAGACAAGCATGCCATATATGGTTGTATAGATAAATTATCATAGAAGACAATGGTAATAAACAGTTTGCCAGAGCATTTTCTCTGAAAAGGTAAATGATTGCGATGCTGGGGGGGGGGGGGGGGGGATGGAGGGATCTGAAACAAGTGCCAGTGAATATTAGTTATGTTGTATGAAATCCTTCAAAACTTTATAACAATTTCTGATTTCAAACACAAAACTTTTATCTTCCGATGAAACAATCCATTACATGAACTATTCAGATTTCTTTTCGGAAGAAATAAGGAGTATTGTAAAGAGAGATACATCTAAACAGGTCTAGCGTGAAAGAGTCAGACCGCCTGCACAATTCTTCAAAAATCCAACGCTCAGAAATTCGATAGTTCAAGGTCGTATTCCTTATCATTTAGAAGTAAAGTTCAACGGTTGTCGCTATAAACACATAAAATCTTTCAATCCTTACGCATCGTTTAATTTCCGTATCTCAAATGGCTGAAATCTGAGTAAATATAAACATACGCATTATCAACTAACCATCAGCCATCACTAAAATTTCATTATATCCCCGATGACTCCCCATACATATATTTGTATAAACAATCATTTCATTTTTTCTCCCCACGTTAAGTTAATGATTTTTCTTTAATTTCTGTGTTTCTTACCTGACTATCCCTCCACGATCTCTTCATTCTGTTTGTGGTATTCTACAACCCGTTTACTGTGTTGATAATGGTCACATGCACGTCCTAATTATAAATCGACCGGAATGGCGGAATTAAATACTTACAACCATATAATGTGTATATAAGATAATTATGCCGAAAAAAATATAAACACCGATCACGTGGACAACTACGCATCTATAAACATATGTACTCTAATCGAAGTACATAGGCCTACAGTACGCTGCCTATCGATTTAGGTATGTAAAAAAAAAATAGGGTTACACCTTGGGACAAAAAATAAATCGGAACAGCTTGAGTGACATTGGATGAAGTATTACTAGCGATAGTAGACTTTGGTCCAAGATTTCTTTAGTAATGAGTTGAAATTCCCCATTATATACGACTTGTATACACGTAGACAATAGACTTTAACATGTAATTATAATATTTACTAGATACAGTTCTCCGTTATTGAAAACAAATAAAAGTATGTAAAATCAGAAGAACCGTGATATCATAAATGAAAACATGTTATTGAGTCGCTGACCTTAGTATTTCATTTGTTCAGATGCATGTTCTTTTTATATTTATTTATTTATATTGGTTTTTTTTTTTTTTTTGGATAAGGAAATGACATTTCTCAAGGTTAATATAATTAGCAATATATCAATGTCATGAATGCCCCCCTCCCCCCCCCCCCTCCAAAACACAATCACACAGCACACACACACACGAACACTATATTACATGCATATCCCTGATAACTTTCCATACTTTAATGATTTTTAACCAGCCTTGAATATTTCATCTATAAGGGTAGAATTCTAACATTGTTTACTTCTCCTAATACACTTTATTCATCTTGTTTTACCAAGTGTTTCTGATCCGCTACTTATAGGTTTGTGAGGAGAGTAGCGAATCAAAAACACTTGGATAGCAAAGATTTCTAATTTCATTTTTTTTTTTAAATTTTTGTGTGATTTATCTAAACCATTTTCCGCATTCTTACAAATAAATTACCACATATTCACCGATTAATTAAATATACATGTTTAAAGGTTTTCGGTTTTAAAATGCGTAGTGCATATAATACCTACGCAGCTTTTAAAAAGAAAAAAAAATCTGTAAAGGTCAAGTGGGTGTGCGATCGAAGTGCAATGTATTTTGCCTTCCAATTCTGGTATGAAAAAATAAGGTTATGTATTAGGGCTATAAATAGTGTTATCTCTAACAAAATAAATCAGAGCAGGGTCTAACAATGAATCTTTGATATTTTATAACAAAGTTGAGATTAAATTTCAAATCACACTACATGCATATTAAGTTTACATGTACATGTATGCTGTGAAAACTAACAGTCAACGAGGGATTATTTGTGTTCAGAATGTCGTTTGTGTCGTAGAGGTTGATTCGAATCAAGTTAGTCTAGAATTCTCCATGTAGAATAATTTCGTAAATTCAATCTTTTCAAGATATTGGTTGAGTCTGAGATGCGTTTTCTGTGCATGTATAGATAAAGACAACATACGAAGCTGCGTTTTGAAGGTGGGATCCACAGGCACTTGTTTCGTATACGCGGCACCTCTACTTATTTTTACCACAAGGTACCTAACTCAATTTTAGGCACCCCCGCTTCAAGCTCGTATTTTGTTATTAAATATATCAATCATAAACCTACTTTAAAATGACATCATTCGCTTCAAGAGACTTTCTTCCTGTCAAATAAATCGATTGTTTCAGACGTCTCTGGTGGAGCCTATTTATTGTAAACCACTCATTTATTCCTCGAAAATTACCTCAATACATAAAAAGACTATAGATGGGATACAAATTAAAGCTTCCGGTTGGGGTTATGAAAGTAGGATAAAACCAGAAACTTCAGAGCATTCCATTCCGATATGTCTCTGGTTTTATCATTCATAAGTAGGGGGTGCCCAGTATACGGAACAAGTGCCTGTTGTGGGATCCTCTGATTTTCATGAAAATGAAAAGAAACCACTGACAGGTGTACACATCAAAGCTTATGTAAACACCGAGCACAGGTTTGTTCAGAGTCGAGCGTGAAATATACTAGTAATGTGTATATTATATGTATAAAAGTTGAGTCACTGTGAAAATATTTTTCTTGAACAACCTTGTGCTCTATGTGTTCTAACTAAAACATTGTGTTTTGAAACTCTTCTTTTAGCTTTTATTTTACAAAGTTTGTAAATGGAAAATTGTATTTGTAGTTGATTGTGATTCTTGAACATCCATATATACAAAAATACATGTATTTCTGTTAACGCCTATGGCATGTCAGACGTTGCAATATTCGATCTTTTCCATTTGTATTCTATAATTTTCCATTTGTATTTTATAATTTTTCATTTGCATTGTAAAATTTTTATTTATTTTCTATATTTTTTTCATTTGTATTGTATATTTTTATTTGTATTCTATAATTTTTCCATTTGTATTGTATAAATAATTTTCCATTTGCATTGTATAATTTTCCATTTGTATTGTATAATTTCAATTTTGTATTGAATGCTATTCCATTAGTATTATAAAATTATACATAACGATTGGAAATTTATAGAATCCAAATAGAAAATTATACAAAACAAATGGAAAATTATACAATACAAATGAAAAAATATAGAATACAAATGAAAAAATATAGAATGCAAATGGAAACTTATAGAATACAATTACAAATTATACGATACAAATGAAAAATTATACAATACAAAAATTAATGAAAAATTATACAAATAAAAATTTTACAATACAAATGAAAATTTATACAATCCAAATGAGAAATTATAGAATACAAATGGAAAATTACAGAATATAAATGAACATTACACAATATAAATAGAAAATTATACAATACAAAATTATAGAATGCAAATGAAAATTTTACAATACAAATGAAAAGTTATACAATACAAATGAGAAATTATAGAATACAAATGGAAAACTATAGAATACAAATAAACATTATACAATACAAATGGAAAATTATACAATGCAAATAGAAAATTATAGAATATACCGTAAAATAAGGAATCTACAGTAAATGGAAAATTATACAATAGAAATGGAAAAGATCGAATATTGCAAAGTTTGACATGTCATAAATGCCTCTTCTATGAGCCCTTTTTTTCATCAGACTTAATTAAAAGTCCTTTGTTTGTTTTTGCCGCACGAGTAATTTATTAGTCCTTGCATTTTCCGTTCCAGTGAATAGTGTTAATTTCATAACTGTTAATTTCATCATGCCAAAACACTAGAACATACATTGTACATATATACATGTAATATCAACATGTACGAAATCACTTATAAATAACAGTGCAACAACCCCTCTAACAAAAAAAATTAACCTAAGTAAATCATATATGATATTAAAAAAATACAATGAAGAAATGAAAATCTTTGAAATTTTTAAAAACCTCAAAATTATAAACAAAGTTGTCTTATTTTGATTGTAAAATTACTTTATTTGTGTCTGCACTGTACTTTCAAGCATTTTCTTATTATGATATCTAATCAAAATATCTCCGCCCATTTCCATGTAATAGATACTCAGCAGTCTGTTCGAGGGAAATGTTCCGGAATTTTTAAGTGCGATAGGTGTTAAAAATTGCCTTGTAAATTTTTAATATATTTATAATCTCGGCGGCTCGGCTAGATATTTTGACTGACGCTCGGGGGAGTCCTTCATAATTCAGAAAATTCAGCCCAGTTGACTTAGTATATTCTCCCACAATTTTTACAGCTAGTGCATCTGTTTTGAATCCGTTGCCATTTTCGCTCATCATCTTCAGGAAGCTTGAAGATAAGTGCAGAAATGTGCGTTGATGTAATGACTCCAAAATGACTCTGTTGGAACTCTTTTATATAAAAAATGTACCAAAAAAAAGCGGTTTGAATCGAAGATAACACAGCAACTAGATAAATTGTTGGAATAACCTTATGTAATGGCGAGAAATGTACATTGAATGGCAAAGAAAAATTAAAAGGATGTTAGAGGAAACAAAATGAAGCTGGACAGGTGAAACACAAGTATTTAATCGTGACAAGCGATCGAAGTTGGGGCTGAATTTCCTGGTCTTATTTTCTTAATGATTGAGCAGACATCAGCTCTAGGAGCATGTCCATTCCTAAGTAACTTTAAGCCCTACCTAGACCAAACTTGCACGGATGAGGCATAGGGATGTACACTCAATGTTTCCCAAGAAGATACGGATGTTGTGACTCCAACAAACCTAATTTTATATATCCATTAAAGCAACATAGCTACTAGACATATATCTTTTACATAAGCGAATGGAAGGCTAGTCCTTACCCTCAAAAAACACATTGTAGATATGTTAACCTTAAGACTGCCTAGTAAAACTCCCAGATATTTTTTTTTATCTTTGCGTTTGATCAATAGCGTTAGATCACTGCCAAATATTTGAGCAGACTACGACCATCTTTTATTTTTGTTGGTTGTTCAAATAAAACTTATCATAAACGTAGCCAGTAATGGAAGAAATGGGCAGCGTAATGCACAATAAATATCAGTATAGAAACATTTATGACTACAAAGTCAACATTCATACAATGATCTCGTTCTTCGTATGACTGACGTGAACAATTCCTCACACCAGTCCTAGGTACAATGTAGGTAAGTAAATATATATTCTAAAAAAGAATTTAAAAAATATTTTTCTTTACTGGAGTAGGTAGAAATATTATGAAAGGATATTGTATATGTATCAACATTTGGAAAATCTTTATTCATGTCATTTACCGTTAAATATTCTTCCAACGAACTTAAATAACAATTTAATTGTAGGACGCAATCTGCTGTAGACTTGAGTTTTCATTTGAGTACATGTATTACGGTAGTAATTTTTTAACATTTAGAGTGTATATATTGCCTGCGTCTAACTGTGTCTAATGGGTTCATAAAAGGGACAGACGGTCCAGCAGTCCTTTAACGAATAGTTCCTGCATAATCAGTGTCTTTAATAAAGAAATAAAGTATTTAAAGGTTATTATTTTATTCCATAGCAAACTTGAACTTTTTTTCAATCTGCCATATAAAAAGTAGATTCATTGATTACTGGATTTCTACGTATCAATCCGAGTCACTCTGAGATTGTAGTTTTTTTTTCAAATCACAGCTGAAAAAAAGAGTAAAATAAGTTTTGAGAGAGAAATTAAAGAAGGGGTAGTAAATGTACATGTAATACAGGCCCGCGCGTAGGAATCAATTACGGCAAAGGGGGAGGGGGGGGGGGGTTAAAACTAAACGAATAGAAATTCCTAGGGAAGCATAAAAAGTCACCAAACATTATTTTTTATCTAGAGACACATCCGTAATTTAGCTTTGTTTAATTTTCTATTTCTAGTATTTCTATTTTATTTTCTATTTCTAGTATATTTTGGCAAAATGATCGGATCTTATAGTACAGGGCTGTATTTATAATGTATAAGGCATAGAGAAAAGTCTTCTTTTTCGTATATTTTCAAAAACAAAGGAATTTCCGTGTTATTGTAACATGAATTATAGTGCAGGGATTTTTGGTAGTTTCAACTTCTCATGCTTCGATAGAAAGTACATATTATAGTGAATTTAATAATTAAAAAATCCGATGATTTGATGCACAAGTGTTCCCTCTATAGAAGAGGTTTTAGATATAAAAAAAAAAGTTTGTTGATTATTAGCTTGTGCGACACAAGTGAGCGATCCAAATTTTGATTTTATTTTAGGTGCTTAACCACACCCTGAATATTTTTTTTTATAGTGAGAAGAGCTAGGTTTATATGGTTTATACTATACATACATTGATATATGACTTGTCAAGATTGAATCGACTACATAGTTACTCAAAGGTTACTCCACCATATGCAGACGGTACAACTCGTTTCTTTAAATCGGGTTCGACATTTTATTTATGCTTACATGTACACGTGCTTCAGAAAGTGAAACAAGAATAGAAGGGAAAAATGTCTAAGGCCTAAGGTATGATTTAAAATTTATCTAGAATTACCTGTAAAAGTTGTAGGAATTGCATAGCTTTTTTAAAAAAAAAAAAAAAATCAATATAATCCATGCAAAGCAAATCGTTTATTTAATCATGTAAAAGGGGCCTAGGCACAGATTTGAAGTTTATATTTTCTCAAATTTTCTGTATAATATCATGACTTATATGTAGCTATAGCGTTGCTATATCTTTTAACAATTGTTATTCTAATTCTAATAATTTAATGCATATTCCCACCACAGCATGTATTGAATCATTTGAATTGTTGTTTTAAAAAATCGCTTGTCCCATACCGATTACGGTAGCCTGTACAGTAGCTAGTGGTAGGTCGTTCGCTTCGTGATCTGGAGGCCGGGTTTGATTTTCCGCGTCAAAGCTAAGAGTAAACATAGGTACATGTAGTGACTGTTTCCTCGCCAGGTTCCCAGCACTAAAAGTGAAAGCCTTAAACCCGAGTCAATAGATATTGAAACGATAAAGAGCCGTCACTCCTCGAAGATCTTGAGTGCTGAGTATAGGTCTAAATTAAAGCCCTTCACCGGTACACGTGACGTCTCATTATGAGTAATTAATTATAGAATGGGACGTAAAAGTACAACATACAATCAATCAATGTCCCCATAGACATCAATACAATCGTCGTTGATTAATTACTGTTTAGGTAATTATATTTTTGAAAATTTCTCTCGGATAATCCTTTATATTTCAGGGAAAAAATTGTGTCCTAATTGGGATCCACAACCTTAAATCATTTAATACTCAACAATTCATTTTTTCAGTTTTGAAAAAAATCTTCATCCGACCGTGTTTCATGTTGTTGAAGTAATTGTGTTCTGAATCATCTCCAACTATGGAAACAATATACCTGCATCAACTTGCCATAAAGAATGACTTAGACGAAGAAGATATTGAAAGACCCTCTCCAAATTTATGCACGGCACTTCACCTTGCAATATTAAATGGTGATGTAGATGCATGTCGTAGAGAAGTACAAGACGTTGAGCTTGTTAATAAAAGAGATGTAAGAGGTGATTCAGCTCTTCATTTAGCAGTGCGCTGGATAACGCAGAGAGGAGAAGATTTGATGAGGACATTGATTTCTTCTGGAGCAGACATTAATGTCCGAAACAAATGGGGCCAAACCCCGCTGCATTATGCCGTTTTTGTGGAATCCTTGACCAATGTTAATTGTCTACTTGCACAGACAGATATTGATGTGAATGTTGCTGATGTAAATGGTTACACCCCCTTACATTGTTGTTTTCGGTATAAATTAGGTGGTGAAGAGGAGGAAGATAGAGAGAAAATCCTCATAAATGAAGAAGATAGTTTTCTAGGCATTGCCGAGAAACTTATATCTGCTGGTGCAGATTTAAATGCTATTACAAAATGTGGAAACAGTATATTACATCTTATTGTCAGAAGAGAAGATAATACACCACTTTTGAAATTTATCCTGGAAAAGTACCCAGGATTCAATCTTTATATAAAAAATAATATGGGAGAGAATTTCTTGCATGTATACGTTACAAGTGAGGTGTTTGAAAAAGTTCATGAAAACATTGAATTTATCGCAAGACATTTTCCCAAAGAGATTGTTAAGACTTTGCTCAACGACAAAGATATATATGGAAGAGCGCCTTGGGCACACATGATCGATACTGGAAATGTTGATGCGGATACAATCATAAGGTTTCTAGAACTAGGCACTGATGTTCTGGCTACAGACAGTATGAAAAACACAGCTTTGCACAGGTTAGCTGGAGTGGGTTGGGCAATTCCTTTCCTTGAGGTATTGGAAATACTTATAAATGGAAAAATTGATGTGAATTCAAAAAATGTCTTTGGAGAGTCACCTGCATTTGTCATCTTTCTTGAAGAAGTGTTCAGTGTTTTAGTGAATACGGATTTGGATTTCAATGCAAAAGATCGGTGGGGTAGGACTCCTCTGATGTCAGTACTTAAGCATAGACCAAGGCCTGAGTTGCTCAGGAGGATGATTTTAGAAAGAAATGCAGATGTCAATGTTTCTGATAAATGGGGTTCCACGCCACTTCACATAGCATCATTTCACAACTTCGAAGAACAAGTAGAACTTTTACTTAACCATGGCGCTAATGCCTTTGCTGTAGATAACTTAAAGGAAAGACCTCTGGATATTGTTAAACGTCACTGCAGCTACCGATGCCACAAGCTTCTCTCTCACACGGAAAATACTGAACTTCTTTATTCTCGGGTCAAATCTTTTGAAGAAATGCTGCTTGAAATGCCAAAATGCATTCAAAGTTCAGTGATCAAGTCGAAGGAAAGTATTGAACATGCGATGGGTCTTCCAACAAACCGATCCGAACTCTTTGAATTTCTTATGAAAACATACCATGAGAGAACACCGGAAAATGCAAACGAAATTTCCAAAATCCATCAAGAAGTTGTAGGGCTTGTAAAAACTCTCTGCAGTAGTGTTGCATCATATGATAAACGATTTAGCATGTCTATTTTTCGCACTGGATCTTCAGAGGAAAATACCAAGGTTGGCCCTCCAGACGAATTTGATTTTGCTCTGTGCATTAATGAACTGAAAGAAATAACATGTATTGTAATAACAAAAGAATGCAAAGAAAAGGGGTTTGCATGCCTTAAGTTTTCAAAGAATCCAATACCTGAAAACTATTTGCAATTTTCAGACTCCGAAGGATATTTCCTTGCATTTCCATATCTTAGCCTTTATAAAACCTATCTAAAGAGAGCTCTGAATGAAACATCAACATGGACCAATGGACACCTATTTTTCAATTACGAGGACAAGATGGAAGTTATAAGTGGAAAGCCTGTTTTCAACTTTGAGGTTTACTGGATAGGATGCGTCTACAAACAGCTTAAAATCAGCATTGATCTGGTTCCTGTTGTGAACACTCCAGGTTGGTGGCCAAAGAATGTTTATTTTCCGGAGGTTCCAGAAATGCACGGAGATGTTCGAAGGGCAGGATGTTTTCTCATTCTTCAGACGAGAAAAAATGACTTTAATAGAAACAACCTTATAGCTGGAGATGATATTTTCGAGACATGTAACAACAATCGCGATGAAAAAACCCGAAGGATGCTTTGCATATCTGCTGCACCGGCAGAGATAGAACTGATGAAAACTCTACCAAGAGTATTTCGATTGGCTTATATTCTAGCTAAGATCATGAAAAGTAAAGAAATTTGTCCAAAAATTGAAGTCGATGAGCTTCCATCAACGCTTTACACGCATCAAAGTGCCTATAAATTGCATAAGCCACCTCCTATTAACCCGTCGCATGCCATCAAAAGTTACATGCTTAAGAACTGTACATTTTATCTTTGGCTTGAACTGCACACAACATTCGTGGAGGAGAATTTAACCAGCACGGACATTGCTGGTCGACTCTTTCAATACTTGATAAAATTCACAAACATTCGTCATTTAAATCCGTTTTTCCTTCCTTATTCGGACGTGTTCGAGTTCGAAAAAGATGAAACCTTATCATCATACAAGGAGCTCTTGCTCCGTTTAAAAAGAGAGTTAAGCATAAAGACTATTTTAGGTGTTTTAAATTACGAATTCCCGTACGAATGTTTATCTAATCCTCTGCACCGAATGTAAGTTTGAGTGTAATGAGAGAAAAAAAGAACATACCTGCAATCTTTGGTAAAGGACAATATAGTTTTTTTTTTAATTATTATCAATTATGCTACTGAAATACCTATTTCATGATGCTTTTGTATGATGCTTTTGGTACAAAATTGCTCGAAAAAATAAAGGAAAATAAAGAAAAATAAATCAAACTGTCAGGGACAATGATAAAAGCAATAGTGTCAGTAGTGCCGACTGCATGGGAGTTTTTTCTCAGCCTGAAAATATTGATCCAGAATTTCAATTCAAAGATACAATAATGGCTACAAACATCAGAAGTAATCAACGAACGAACGTTTCTGTTGTAGGCATTCACTTTTCAATTAGAGACAAACTATGAAAGTTATTTATTGAGTTGGTTGACAAAAAGTAGTCAGAGTTTTACTTGAAAAGCTTGAAGAACTTAAATCTGAACTCATTTAAAACGTTAACAACAAAATGCGGGCTTTGCTTAGAAATTGTCATTGATATTGTTAAGGAAACTAAACACACAGACGAAAATGTGAACTCTATTTATTCAATAAAAATCGTTTGAACAATCTGGAGAAACAAAGCCATCATCCAATACGTGATAATTTAAATGGTCACAAGATACATATCCGTTCAAAAATCACGATTTCACAATAAGTGGCTTATAAAGACTTTGTGCAAAAGACAGAAAGTCTCATTTCAGTTTTAAGGGAGGGTGTCTCTGAAAGTATCCAAATAACGGATTTAACTCGTCTATCTGCTAGACTGGAAAATAAACCGGCCTCAAGACCAAAAACTGGGAACAGATTTAAATCAAAATTATGATTTTGAAGACTTTGAGTTATAATTTACATATGTACATAAACAATATACAAACAAACAATGTACATAAAAATTTGCAACTTTGTAAAATACGAAAATGCATATACAAGTTTGTTTCATTATCAACATTATTTAAAAAAAAATGTATCGATAATTTAGACTCAATTCTGTTCTCAGTTTATGGTCACGTACATATAGTCTGGCCTTTTGAATATCAGCTTTCATAATAAAAAGAGGAGAAAGTTTAGGTAGTAAGAAACAAGATGAAACTAATATAATGTGCGTCTTACAGATATGTGTATATAAGAAGCAGCAAATGCAGACTTCGGCATCCTATCGAAAGCAATACACCATAACCTGCTGAAAGTGCAATAGGCAATATACACAGTAACCATTCAGGCCAACAATCTTGTCACTAACACGATGAGGCATGGTAATCAAGATAAAAAGGGGCATGATTTATTCACACTTGAATCTTAACTGAGGATGCTTTCATATTTCTTTGACTAATTATGGCATTAGAAGCCTTTTTCTCTATGTGTGATCCTCTACTGACCCCCCCCCCCCCCCTACCCAAAGGGGACATGATTTGAACAAATATGATTATACCTTACTTGAGGATGCTTCTGAATTAATACGACTTATCATGGATTTGCTATTCTTGGGAAGGAGATTTTTAACGATTTCTCCTATGTATTCTAGTGTTAAACTTTGATCACCAATTATAGTCCATCCCTACCCCTGGTGGTCATGATTTGAACAATCTTGATGTAAACTATCTTGGATGCTTCCATATAAATATGTTTAATCACTGCTTTACTGTTCCTGAGAAGATTTATAAAGTTTTTCATATGTATACATACGTAAAAATTTGATCGTCCATTGTGGCCCCTCCCAATCCCTAGTGGTCATGATTTCAACAAACTTGAATTAACACTACCTGACAATGATGTAAATATTACCAATCACGGCTTTGTTTTTCTTGGGAAGGAAAGTTTTAAAGATTTTTCCTAAATATTTCTATGTAAAAATTTGTTTACTCGTTGTGACCCCACCCTAGCCCAGGGGGTCATGATTTGAACAAACTTGAATCTACACTACCCAAGAATGCTTCAATAGAAATATCACCAATCATGGCTTTACTGTTCTTGAGAAGAAGATTTTTAATTTTTTTTAATACCCCTACCCAATTTTCACTATTTCTTAGATATCTCCCCTTAGAAAAGGATGTTGCCCTTCATTTGAACAAACTTGAATCCCCTTTACCCAAGGATACTCGGCTCAGGGTAAGATTGAAATTGGTCCATTGGTTCTGGTGAAGATGATGAACATGTGAAAGGTTTAAGACAACTACGACAACGACAGACAACGGACAAATTTTGATCAGAAAAGCTCACTTAAGCCTTCGGCTCGGGTGAGCTAAAACATAGATACGAGGATATTGTTTCCCAATTTCGGTCAAAATGTCCAAGAAATAGAACAACCATTTTAATGATTAAGTAAATATAAATTACGCACAACGATACAACAATGTAAATAAATTTTCAGATAAAAGTGTCTTGGAATAAAAAAAAAAGTATGCCGGTTGATTTGAATTTGAAAGAAGTGCATGTTTTTGTTAAATTGCAGTTTCTTAACTAAAAAAAATACAGTTTTATAACCAAACATAACTTAAAATACTATTGCATTTAAAAAAAAAAAACTATAGATAGTGATCAACAGCTTATTGCACATTCATTATAATTAAAAAAAGAGCGTTATATACATGTATAAATCTCATTCTCCATTTCAGGAGAAAAAAAACTCTCAAACAATGATATTTTTTATATTTCTTGTTTAGTTTTAGAAAATAAAAATATTTTCGAAAAATGCATTGCTCGCATATTTTTTTTTTAATTTTCGTAAGTTAGAAGTTTCCGTTTTGGGGTATTGTATTGGTACATAGGGATTTTAATGAAACTGTGAGAGTGATGGAATTCTTCTCTACTAGACCATACTAGTAAGTATATGAAATATGAATGTTCAACATTTAATGGAGTTTAGTCAAGGCCCAGTCACTGATAGCTGTAAACTTGTTACATGTTAGTATAGTGAAAATTGTCATTAATCAAGAATTGGGTACTAAAAATTATTATAAAAAAAACATTTGTTGATAATAGTTTTGAATTCTTTCTAAAAATATATTCAACAACAGCTATGCCGTGATTTGTCATGCTTAAGGTGGACCGACCCTCTGATCAGAGAGACAACTTTCTAAGTAAAAAATACAAAAAATTACTTATAGTTTATTTTATCAGAGTTCACTAAATGAGACATCTGAGTACTACAGTAAATTTGATCAATCCTTACATATGATGGAAACATTGCCTTTTATTTCCATTGCCTATACTTTTTCAAATTGTTTTATTATATTTGACAAAAAAACATTTAAATCCAGTTTTAAAACCCCTACAAAATTAAACAAGCTCTACCTTTTTAAGTACAATTTTTAAAATGGTTTAATGTATCAAGCACCAAATGTTAAATTTTTATTAGTATTACATATTTTCCCATGAAAAAATATTTATTAGAAAGATAACTCTTGATAACAGATGTATTCTTTTCTTACAACCACATATAACATTACGATATTCTGGCTTAGGAAGCAGTGCTTTATTATGTTTTCTAATATGAATTTAATAGGTATGACACTAAGTATACACCTCATATTTTAAATTTTATGTTGTGATAATAAATTATTACTTTTCTATTCTCTGTATTAAAATTTCTTCATATTATGATATGACATAAAAATAATTTCTGAAAAAATAAGCAACGCTTCATACCTCATACTATTTTTCGTTTGAATCTGATGCTATAGCTCTTGATGAACATCAATGTTGGGAAGTTTAAAAAATATTCGTGAAATTTAGAGCAGAGGGTCATTAATCCTTAAATTAAATGCAAGCATTCTCAAGAAGTGCAAAAATTCAAATTCGTTTAAATTATAGACGTAGGCAATGGGGTCAAAACTGAAAAGTTTTATATGGAAATACTTATTTATAGGCGAAAATCACTCTCCAAAGTACAACAAATGCATCATTTGACATTGACATTTGAAATAATACGAGAATAGTATGCACGTGTTTTAAAATAATGGACAACATAAAACCCATATTTTCATTTCAATTTAAGAAAAAAAAAACTACGCAGCTAATTGCAAAGAAAGTACCACAAAGCATTTAGGATAATCTCATTTTTTTACCTTATAACAGGCAATACTATTTACATGTCAGTTTATAAACCAGAAGTCTCTGACGAGACTGTAGCTCTACTGGTTGTACTTATAAAGGAAGATAAAAGTAGCACTTGGACTTGAAACTTTGCAACAGCAATAAATAGAATAATGATTCTTGGTTTAGTCTCTTTGTGGCAAGATTTATTGCGATCAGACTAAAACTGTAGGAGGAGTAGCCTTTTAAAACATATTTACAGAAATTTCGATTTATGTAACCATGGCAACATCATTCAGCAAAATCAAAAAACAATAACGACAATTATGTAGCTCAATGTAGTCTACATGTATGCCAAGTTAACTGAAATCAGACAAAAAGTGTAGGAGGAGTAGCGTTTTGAAAGTATTTCAAGAAAATTTCTATTTTTAATAACCATGGCAACACTGTTCCTTGAAATCCAAAACTGGTATAGAGAATTATGCTTCCTAGTGTAGTCTACTTTAAAATTGAAAAAATCGCAGTCAAACTGGTCGATCGAAATCTGTAGGGGCACCAAAAATATCGATGCTGTGAGCAACATGATATCTTAAAAATGCCAGATTAATTTACATTGATACACATTGTTAAGACACTAAACATTTCATCATTTCAATAGTTTATAAAGTTCTGACAAATGAATTGAATCTAACTATAATTCTCTCAGATGGGTGCTTTATTTCCTTACAAATGCCTCAGGGACACACACGTTAAATGTGCCAATGGTGTATTTCAAAATAAACATTTTTACAAAAAAGAATATTCGATAAACTTGAGTGTTAGATGACGAAACATGGGTGTACCTTTTATAGCCGAAAAGGAAGATTAAGAATGAATGTGGAATCAAAAAGAAAGCCGTCGTCCTATTATTGCAAAGAGAAGTAAGGGCTCCAAATATGTTTTATTGATTTTCTTTTTATTCAATAGGTCCAGTAAAACATGTACATACAGCCAATTACAAAGGAAAGACTATCAGTGGTAACTTTTATGTTAAAATT